GCCATTAGAATATTAAACCTCAAAAAGGGGTTAGTACATGCTTATAAAATGGGTTTGTTAACCCTTTACCGCATGAGCATATTGTGAAAAATGACCGTTTTCATTGAAAAGCCTCCGGTTACAAGCTAAAAATGCTATGGAACTATGAAGAATGCTTCAGAACTGATAAAAGTTGATGTCGACTGAACCATAGCCTCTGTAACAGCATGCTCAGTTTTGATGATACCAGGAAGTGCTGAAACTTCACAATGGATAAATATAGAGTAAAAGGCTTTTCCACGTTGGGTACACGTTTCCTTACGATCGACCCGAGGCCATTTGTTAGCCTGTCACATAATCAAAATTTTATTGGCGATAAGGGGGCTTCAAACCCCCGAAACAGAAGGGGGCACATCCCCCTTCTGGCAACACCTTGATGTATCTATTTTCAATTTTTTAGCACCATTTCTCAAAACAAAAACAAGTGTTTGGGAGCTAAATAAAGCGTTTTTTTACTATTTGAGGTCTCAAAAGGGGATTAAAAGTCGTCAAAAGACGTTATGAAGTAACTAACTAATTTACATTATATTTAAAATATTCAAGTATGTTTGAATGTGACTTGGGTTTCATGCCCGCTCCTTATCTACTAAACCCCATGCACCTTGAGTCAAACGTTAACCACATCGAGACCATATGAAGTATCTTTCTTTGTGTCATCGCGGACTATATATTTTTATAGTTAGGCCATTTGTAAAACATCATTTTTAACACTTCGCCATCTGTAAATTACAGTACCCCATTTGCAAATACCAAATTTTTCAAATTTTAATTTTTGGAGGCATAAAAAAACAACAGTTTTTATTATATATATAAACTTTTACTGTTATTTGTTAATTGTATTTCTATTCTTTCAGGACAATGACTCTAAACATAAATCAAAGTCTACAGGCATGGTTTGAGAAGCAAAATATGACAACAAAACTGATGGATGAACCAGCCTCTTCTCAAGATATAAATCCCAAAGTGAATCCTAAAACGGAACAGGAACTTGTCGTGGGTATTGTAAAGTTTTGGGAAAATCTCGACAGTCTAGCATGTGGCCGCTATTTTGACCATATACATCATGTTCTCCTCGAGGTTGTTCTGAACAATGGTGGACTTACCAAGTATTAACATTATGTATGCTAACATTCAAGAGGATCATCTTTTTTTAGCAGCAGAGAAAATAATGTGCATATCGCTAGAGTGTTTGACACACACTGCTATAAGATAATTGTCACTGAAGAAAAACATTTGTCATTTTATGTAAATATTGACATATAGCTGATAATTTCTTCTGTAATGCTCGATTCGTCTTATTTATTAAGTTATTGTTTTTGTGCATGTTTATTTTTTGTTTTTAGAGCAAACAAATAGAACTATCTTTTTTAAAACAAAACACTCTTTTCTTCGACTGAAACATATCTACATCTATAACTAGTTTGCCAATAGAAAATTTATGTTTGCATATATGTTTGGATGTAAATTGTTTCAAACTGTGGTCATCCATTGTTTAATGAAATCAGCATAAAACACCATCAATTAAGAATATCTTAGCACTTGGTTAAAGAGTTTATTATTATACAGTGTTTTAGCTCACCTGAACAAAGTGACATGGTGAGTTTTTGTGATCGCTTTTCGTCTGGCGTCCGTCTGTCCGTATGCTTTTACTTTAAACAACATCTTCTCATAAACCACTGAGCCAATTACATCCAAACGTCACAGGAATGTTTCTTTGGTAGTCAACTTTAAAAGTTATTTAAAAGAATTTAATTCCATGCAGAACTCTGGTTGCCATGGCAACCGAAAGAAAAAACTTTTAAAAAAATCTTTAAAAAAGCCGAAAGATCTAGAGCTTTCATATTTGGCATGAAACATCGTCAGTGTCTACCAAGTTTGTACAAATAAAAGCCCGGGGGCCTATATACAGGTGAGCGTTTTCAGGGCCACCATGGCCCTCCTGTTATTATTTAGGCTTATACTATCCTAATCTTCTATTTCAAAATATTGAAACATTTAATTTTGATCTTTAGGAACTTTTTAACAAATAATGCAGTATCATAAAAATTTATGGTTGTGTAAAAAAATAAACTAAACTATTTTAAAAGTATTTATAAAATTTATTTTTATTGACATTTACAACAGCATTGATATAATAACATTCATTATCATACATAAAAGAAAAAGAATAATTCATGTAGTATAATAATAGAATTAGATTTATATCAGACTTTGAGAAAATCAAGCTGTAAAACTTCAAATTTACATGATAGATATCTGCTTTGTAAGTTTGTTGGCGAATCAATGTATTCAAAATTTATTAATCGTAATTATTCCCTATTCAAGTATATAGATATTAAAACTACTCGTTTGAAAGAAAAATCGTAGTAAGTTCCCTAAAAAGTGGTTGATGCATGCACGTAATCATTGCAAACTAAAATAGCAGTATAATATTTTGTTGAAAATTTTTTTTTTCATTCTTTACATACAAAATGTGCTTTAAATCAGCAAGATATCTTTTGTGAAACCCTGTAAGATTTTAGAAATAACTATCAATACAAAAGTTATAACAATATTTCATTAGATATAGCTTTATAACGTTTAAAGTGACATTATGCTCACTTTTTCTGTTTCAAAATGAGCTAATCTGCTTTATCTTTAAAAACAAATGACCATTATAATGGTGTAGAACAATTAAATTAATTAGTTATGTAAAATATTTAGGATAAAAAAAATAAAAATGACTTAAATACGACTATCCTACTCTTTAAAACTGATAAATGACAATGTATATTCTTTAAAATGTTTGTGAAACAAATTCTTGCATAAATATTCCAAACATCTAATGTTTTGTATCTCTTTTATGTTTCATTACATTTTATCACAACTGTGCACATTGATTGACTCATTTTTTCTGGGGCTACTTTTTGTGACGACAGGAATAACGATAGAAATGCCACATTCAGAAGCTGGTTCATTGGTTACCTTTTTCTTGGATGTCATATTGTTACAACAGGGAACGTGTATTTAATTTTGCTTATGATACAAAAGAAAAAGAACATCAAGACACTCGGCAATCTGATTTATACTCGGGGCCTACGCCCCCTCGTACAAATCAGATAGGCTCGTGTTTCGATGCTCTTTTTATTACATAACATACATAATGGCAGAAGTAAACTTAAGTAATGTTCAGAAATGAGTGTTTGTGGAACGTGTATGTACGATCCTATCACGATCCTACCTACGAAACGTCACTCATTACATACTCAGATGCCCGTTTGTGCCAGAAACAATTTTGCAAAGGGGGCACCTGAGTTCTTTCTCCACCAGTAAAGCTGAAGAGTCGCAATAATGACCTACACGGTTTTTGTGCGATGTAACCCCACCCCAAAAACAGAAAATCAAATAAGAAATGCTTTTAAATTCATCATTTTTTACAGGATGGAATGTTATTAACTGTATTTGATTTAAATACGTAATAGATAGCGTTAAATACATGTCATTACAAATTCCATTATAAATATCACCGATGCACTATGTTCGTCTTCATCCAATTCTTCAAAATATTGAAATTGAAACTTTTCAGTATACATCAAACAAACTTCTCAGTTAACAGATATTTTTACTTTTGGTTGAATATAGGTATAAATAAACTTACAGTATTTTAAAAATGTCAAAGACAATAATTGTAAATAATATCTTTCCGTTTTGTCTAGGAAATGTCCGCTTCGCTGGCGTTTAATTTTTCAAAACATCACAATTGCTACTTTGAACAGCTTTTATACATTTTTTCTTCGTTATACTCAAGTTATAACAACATGATAGGTTAGAGTGTTGAGAAAAATCAATAGACATTTTGCCCCGTTTACTCCGTTGTCTCAAAAATCTCCCTTGCGTATTTTAGTCATACCCGATGAATTGTGGGTAACTTCTGTACATGTCTGGAAAAACCAACTTTCATTTTTGCATCAAAAAATAATGTGAAAAATGCATTTTCTAGCGAAATTGTTGCTAAAGGGTTGGTTAAAATGTAAGTTATTGTTATTTTAGTTAAAATATTGTGATTTGTGTGGAAATTTGTTTGCATTTTTTTTTTACACCAAATTACCTGTCAAACCTCAGTTGAGCTCCTTTAACACTGCTCATTTTGTTAGGGCGAAGTCAGAGTTTCTTAAGCCAGTGTTTACTGTTTTGGCCAGTTGGTTGACATTTGGCCCTGGTCCATAGCTGTCGAAACAGGTATGTTCAATGGTGTGTATTCGTCTTGGTTATAGACCTGCTTTTCCCCTTTTCCCATTATAATTCTTTGCAATAAGTTCATCACTTAAAAATACCTTCTTCACAAGTATCCATCCAAAATTGCCGATAGAGCAGGCATTTAGTCTTGCTTGTCGAACCAGATCTGCATAAATATGTAGTTCATTGCGGTTAGTTGGAATATCGTTTTCCGAACAGATTTCAGCAATACCTCCTAAATAGCAGGGGTGAGAAAAGTGTTTTTCTTTGATCATTTTAATGATGATGATGCATCCAGCTCATAGCTGAACTGGGAAGTCTGATCAACATCCAACATCTTGCGGAATTGTAAGAGTGACTGGTTCATTTGGAGTAAGCACATAGTTTTCCTTTTCACAAGACATTTCAGCAGTTTGCTCATTTTCTCCAATTTCTTGAAATTTTATTCCAGGCTCTTGTGTTGACGTTGTCTTTGGTGATGGACATGCATTGGTCTCATTTTCTGAAGTTTCTTCTACTGCAACCCTTGATATATTGGTTTCATTTCTAGTTGAACGATTTAACACATTTTCTAAAAAATCGACAGACACTAGGCTTGTGTTCAATTTGTTTTCAAATTTGTTATCTAATGCTGTGACCATTTCCAATATTTTCTCAATCTTTTCACTATTTGCAGCACAAGGTCATGAACACTCATTATCACACTGTGTTACTGCATCAACAGATGTTGGCTTAACACAAAGATTTTAAATCTCTTGAACTGTTTTAGTTACCACAACTGGTAATGTCTGTGATCCAAAAGAACGACTATTTGCTTCAGATTGTGTTACCTGTAATGATAACAAGTCGGCCTGGTCTATTGTAAGCATATCTGTGTTGTATGGAGATCGACAAGGATCAGCTTGTGTGTCTGTGTAGTCTCCAGCACCTTCAACAAGAACAGTAATTGCTCGATCGTTCTAATATTTTTAAAAAATAAGTGATACTGTAAAATCAGATAATTATGCAAGGCTAAATTTTCATAAATGTTTAAGTCTGAAACCAAACATAAACTCAAAATGTAAGTGCAAATTTTTTTTGTCCAAATTTCTAGAAAAAGGATCCATATTAATAAGAAGCATAATTCTACAACTGATTTTTTTACATTTTGGTTGTCAAGTTTTGTGTAAGGATGGTAGGCCTAATAGCAGAACAGTCACTAAATTCTAGCATTATTTCAGATTCTATGAAGGTAATTTTTTATGCAAAGATGTTTTTTCTCGAAATGATTTAACTCAAAGTTTAACAGATATTAAACCCTGATGTAAATTTCTGATCTTACAGTAATAGAATAAACTGTAATATGATGTAAACATACACATGTATTTATGAAGAGAAATAACATTTAGCAAATATTAGCAAAAATACTTCAGTTTTGGCAACTTGATCCATTGTTACAATTGCATCAACAAAAGATTATCAACCTTAAATCAATTATCAATTATTAACATGTCCAGAGAGCATAAATCATAATAAAATTTGTAACAATGAATAATGTCTAAAAACAAGAGCTGTCGGTAGGACAGCAACGCTCGACTATTCTTAGTGCTTGATAGTAAAAAAAGCCTTAATTAAAAGGTAAAATTTTCTAAGTAAAGAAAAAGGCAAAATTTTACTTTAAATTTATATTATAAATATAAAATATTTGAGGTATTACAAAAACTTTCAAGTAAATTCTAAGTCGAAAAAGGGGCATAATTCTGTCCAAATGCTTGATAGAGTTACCTCCTCCTGTCTACATGTAGGGGTCATGATGGTGAAGGAGTGTGCAAAGTATCAAAGCCATATGTCAATGGACTTTGAAAATATTTGAGGTATTACAAAAACTTTAACGTAAATTCTTAGTCGAAAAAGGGGCATAATTCTGTCAAAATGCTTGATAGAGTTACCTCCTCGTCTTACATTGTTGGGGTCATGATGGTGAATAAGTGTGCAAAAGTTTCAAAGCCATATGTCAATGGACTTTGAAAATATTTGAGGTATTACAAAAAACTTAAACGTAAATTCTAAGTCGAAAAAGGGGCATAATTCTGTCAAAATGCTTGATAGAGTTACCTCCTCCTGTCTACAGGTTTGGGTCATGATGGTCAACAAGTGTGCAAAGTTTCAAAGCCATATGTCAATGGACTTTGAAAATATTTAAACTATTACAAAAACTTTAACATAAGTGGTTACGCCGACGCAGACGCCGACGCCGACGCTGGGGTGACTACAATAGCTCTACTTATTCTTATCGAATAGTCGAGCTAAAAAATAGGCTTAAGGCGGTGTTAGAGTCAACAACCATAATGTTTCAAAGTCGCTTGTGTTTATTGTGGGTGGTTTTAAGGCACACCAACACAGTTCTAGTGAATAACGTTTTAAAAAAGAAGCCTTATGTATATATTCATGTGGTATAAAACGATGTCGTGAAACAATGAAAAATGTACACTACAATTTAAATTATATTCCAATAATGAATTCAATTTATCTGGTTAATTCGTTTAAAAAAAGTATGAAATTGTGTTATTTTGTCGATATCAGAATGAATGATTCAGAGAAGTTACGGGAATCACCAAAACATAATGTCAACATTTTGTATAGCAATTTGATATACATTTTATTAAGCATGGCATACAAATTAACATACAAATCATTTTTGCCAAACATTTTTTCAATTGCAATAGTGAATAATAAATTTTGAAAAACAAAAAATAAAAATTTATCTAATAAAACTATGAAATCCGTAACTATTCATATTATTTCTGCATCCAAAATAACAATACTTTCTTACTTTTTTCCGTCAAACGTAGTTAATTTTGGACTGGCATGATGTAATGGAATGAAATATACAGCCAGGTGGAATGGTTTTACGGCACAACAACACAGTTCTAGTGAATAACGTTTTCAAAAATGAAGCTTAATGTATGTTCATGTGGAATAAATGATGACGATAAACAAGCAAAAACGTACGCTTCCATTTCAAAATAGATCACAACAATGAATTCCTCTGGAAAATTATTTTTAAAAAAGTATAAAGTGTTAATAAAATTTGATAAACAATTAAATCTACCTTGTTAATTTGTTAACATTCTTATTACACTTGCATCCATAATAACATTAATGTGTTTTACTTTATTATTTATTTACCGTTAAAATAGTTGATTTTGGACTGTCATGATGTAACGAAATACCTTACTTATCATAAAATATATTTACTTTATACCACAATAAATGATTGTGCTCTCTTTCTCCTCATTAATAAAAACACTTCGACTATATATACTCACAATATCTCACAATCAACAACGGCGAGCATTGACACATAAAACGTTCTGCTATGAAATGTAGGCAGGTAGAATGTAATGTTTTGTTTTGAAAGTGTTACAAAATTTCTGATAAATGTCTTCCCTTTACACAGAAATATGTAAGCTACAACAACCAAATGTCTCAAAGTCAGGTGAGTTTTAGGGACATATGTCGTTTTCATACATACGAGATATGTTTTTTTCTTAATATATTAATATACTGGTATATAGCGGTGAATTGTACAATATAAGGTGATAAATAGCTGTTTGTACTTTTTTACAAATATTTCACACCTTATAAGCCACGCGTCTCCAGATTTATGCATATTTCATGAATGTTTTGATATGTTTTGATAAGATTTTATAAAGTAAGATATTATCAAGGTAATAGATTGCAAACAGTTATCTATCCTCTTTAAGACCACGCTTGCTCCGAATTGACCAATCACGGCTCATTATTTCCGTTGTATATATCGTATAGACAACACTAAACCGTTGTCTATTTTACACCATATATACGCACGATTTTCCCGTCTTATTAACAGATAAGACGAGAAAATCGTGCATAAGCATGCAGTCAATTTGGGCTGTATTTGCATGGACAGATCTTGTGTGGGCGTAAACGGGGGGAGGAGGGGGCAGAGGGCGGGACGATTAAAGTTTACCCTTAGCAAACTAAATATCTTTATAAGGGTAAAAGAACATGCATGTATGTAATGTACACTACGCACAACTACATTCAAAGAAACCGTTTGTTACTGAAACAATTTCGAGTTCAGTGCTGAAATAATAATGTAACAGTGTATACAGAAAATTTACATAATATTAATTCTAAATTTTGTAGAATTTTAAAGAGTGTCAATAGACTCCGGTACACATATTTCGAAACGGCTACTGCTAACAGTTTCAGTAAGTGTCCTATTAGCTAACATAGGGGCAGTGTCTCTGATTTTTTCTTGACTGGGGGCTGCAGTACGTTACTTAGTTGCTGCAGTTGACCCAGATAAGGACGTTTATAATCCCGAACTGCAGTACTACGGTGCCCGCTTCGTGCCATTATAGCCTGTTCGTCGTAGTTGCTTTCATATAGGCGAGTACAAAGGGTTACTTGACCGGTTTCTAATGTTGCGCCCTTCCGTGCCAATTTTGGCTTCTTGAAACATAGATTTCATGTATTTTCCCAGCGTGTTAATGCAAACACACTGAGAGAAAGCTACCGCCCCGTTAATTCTATTTGGCAATGGTTTCCTATAAAAGGCCCTGCTGGTGGAATATGTGACAAATATTGCTCAAGCAGACTAACAATACACCTGGGATTATTTTCATCTTGAAACTGTTTTACCAGCTTCGGCACAACCCTTCTTTGTTTGAGACCACCCTGAACATTTTTTAAATTACTGGAACGTCCACAAAATACCAATATTTTCTGGTAAGATTCATTAGTTATACTATACTGAGTAACATCTTAAGTTTTATGTTGAAACTTAAACTTTTGGCGGAATCAAGCCCAATAACATTACGATTCCACAATAGCAACTCGTCTTCTTCCGTCACGGGGTCTGCTCTGTCGCGGTGAATACCAATACCTGAAGTTCGAAAAAATAGCTGAGATCACTGATAAATGAAAAAGTTTGAGTTAAGCTTAAAAGATACATGTATATACAGGCAGTTTTTCTTACATTTCGTTTGGCGGTATAAAGTTGACGTCGCCAGTATTTTATGTGGCGGCCTTTATGCGCACATGCGACGGCTATTACGTATGCACATATAAACTATCTTGTACGCACGTACTAGCTATTGCGTGTACACGCAATTGCTATTACATGCGTATGTGATACATATTTCCAACTTTATATGATAACAAGCGGGTAGAATCATCGATCAGCCAGCTAGATGGCTACGAATGATGACGTTAAATAAGTTCAATCTTGGTTCCGGGGGGGGGGGGACGGCGGAGGAAGTTATCAGCTTCCGTAACTTATAAATACATCAATACATGTTTGCTGTATATTTTGATCTCATAAAAGTAAGACATACCTATAAGATCGCACCCTCCTTGATATTTCTAGAATTATATTTTCCCACTAGAGTCAAGCCTGTTATTTATATTAAACAGTTATTTTGGTAATCTTACCTGCACTGGTTTATGCTTTCATGCGACTGTCTAACGCCTTTCGGAACTCGCTGAATGACTTGTCACTCTCGTCCAGTATTTTCACATCAAAGCGACCATAGTCCTCTCTCAAAGTACGTTGAATGGATGCTATATAACGTATTTGGGGGATAGTTCTTTCCATCTTTCCTACGACATTCCACGATAAATCGGGACAACCAATAATCCAAACTTACTGTGGATTGAACAGCTAGGTCAACTGGGACCGCCGCACGGTCATCCAACAAAGTTTCACTTTGCTTGATTCACCACTGCGCCGAGTCTTCAAAGCAAGACATAGCCCAACTATTTTGTTTGCGTGTATTTCTTGGTATTCGCTGCGCTTTCAGCAGAGATAAATCGCTATCAGTTACAACATTTAAAGAATCAAATCGTCCATCAGTATCACTTTTTACGTTTATATTAACCAAATCCTGTGTGGGTAAATTGTCCAGTTGTGTAATTGTAACATTGTCAGTTT